CCAATATTCCAGAGGAGGGCGAGGAGTGTTTTAGGAAGTCCCTGATCTCTTTCCCCCAAAACCTGTGTGGGCCCAGCCTGGAGTGCATCCTCATAGACGATGAAAAGGCTCAATGCATGCGTAGTTAGTATCTCACAGGTATCACTTTGTTTTCAAAACGAAGCAGGCACTGTATACGTACATACATACATACGTACATACATACATACATAAATACATACATACATACATTCAAACTACATACACACACACACACACACACACACACACACACACACACACACACACACACACACACACACACACACACACACACACACACACACACACATACACACACACACACACACACACACACACACACACACACACACACACACACACACACACACACACACACACACACACACACACACACACACCCTACAAGAGTATGGTAGGTGGCGAGATTAGGGTGTAAGGTAGACAACCAAGATGTCTTGACCCCTTTATTGCAGAGTAATGATGGAGTGCGGGAGGTGTTGCTCCTTGGCTTCCCGCAGGGGGTCTGCCTGTCATTTCTTACAGTGCTCTAAAGATTGGTATAAATCACGTGCTTACCGTGTGACAATCGGTGGTGATGAAAGGCAGCATAACTCTTGTGGAAGGGAATAGACAACACAAAATTGGAATGTCTAGTGTGGCAAGAAGAGACGAATAAACAGGTAAACCATTAGACATACTTACATACATGTTACAACATCGAAATGTCTAGTGTGGTAAGAAGAGATAAACATTCACTTAATTAAAATAATGATCATGAGTAAAATGCATATGTATACGAGGGGGCATCAAAAAGTTCGTGGAAAAAGTCCATAACTAAAAATCATATGGAAGGAATTTGATGTCAATGTACCTGAACATTCAATGTGTTATAACGTGTTCAAACATGAACCTTTAAATGCAGTTAATAAGGCATCGCCGCGAGTTGGAAGTCAGCCACCATTCTAGCAAGATGGAATCCACCAAAATCATGGTGAAACTTGGTTAGGAGAATAGCCAAATCATTGCTGCTCTGGAACAAGTTTATGGTGACAATGCCCCTAAGAAATCAACAACCTACAAATGGATATGTTGGTTTAGAGGTGGGAGGAACGAAATTGAAGATGAACCAGAACCAGACATTACACTATAAACAATCAAAGAAACACACACACACACACACACACACACACACACACACACACACACACACACACACACACACACACACACACACACACACACACACAGGCCATCAATGTCAGTTTGTGGCGAAAACAGTGATGCTGTTCACAACTTGATTGAAAAGAACAGACGAATAGCCACTGAATCAGTAGCAGACACACTCAACATCTCTGTGGGTTCTGCACACTTAACTCTGGTGGAGAGTTTGGGGCTTAGCAAGTTTTCCACTTGATGGGTCCCTTGGCTGTTACACCTAGATCAGCAGCAAACAAGGTAGATCTTTCAAAGGAAATTTTGAACAAGTGGGATGAGGACTTTGAAGCTTTTCTGCAGAGAATTGTGATGGGATGAAATATGGCTCTACCAGTACGATCCTGACCACAATATTCAATCAAAGCAGTAGCTGCCTAGGGGTGGAAGTGGGCCAGTCAAAACAAAATCTGAGCGGTTAGGAAGAAAGGTCATGGCCACTGTCTTCTGGGATGCAGAGGGGATTTTGCAGCTTGACTTCCTTGAGAGCAAGAAAACTATTACATCTGCATATTAGGAATGTGTCTTGAGAAAACTATAAAAAAAAAATCTCAGAGAAATGTCTTGGAAAGCTGCATCAATGCATTCTCTTCCACCACAACAATACACCCACTCTTGGCACTCGGCAGACATGAGTTGTGCCACGTGAATTTGGATGAGAAATCATCCGACATCCACCTTACAGCCCCGATTTAGCCCATCCAACTTCTTGTTTCCAAACTTTAATAAAATAATTGAAAGGTACCAGTTTTTCATTGGTTGAAGATGTAAAAAGAGCTGCTCTGACATGTTTCAGACAGACTTAAAGGCTGGAATCGACATTTGCAGAAGCGTATTGACCTTAATGTAGCATATGTTGACAAATAGTCATGATAACTGAAACCTTTTTTTTCATAGTGTCCTTTTTCCATGAACTTTTTGAAGCTGCCTCATATGTATGTGTGAAGATATGTATGTGACAAACATGTAAGGTCATGTAAAATATATAGAATATAGTAATATGATGTAGATATAATTGGGTTACACGCACACATGCACACACATACACACACAAAAACACACACACACACACACACACACACACACACACACACACACACACACACACACACACACACACACACACACACACACACACACACACTCTAACTAACTAACTAACACTAAGACAATATGCAATAAATATAATAGTACTAATGTACTGAGTATACCTAAATTATTAGCCATAAAAATGAAGTGATCAAAACTAGATAGATGGGAATGA